CTATACACGCGTGGACTGGAGCTGTAATTTCACGGAAGAGCAGACGGTGGCCTACCGGGAAAACAACAGCACAACCACCAACATTAAAGCTTTCTGTTAGGGCTTATAAAGCAGCAAGGAGACTGCACAAAAAGAAGCTGCTGTTAGTATTGGTCTAAGAACATGTGCAGAAAAAGATGAGACACGGGACGCAACACGCCATCCGAGCAAAAAAAAAAATGAGGACCAAAAGGGGAACGTCCTCCCCTCCAGGTTTCAGGGTGTGCCTCTGTTCTGAATATAAGACACATTGGAGCACAGCAAGAACCACCGAACACAGGATCCAGACGTTCAGCTTTCATCAGGCCTGGTTTCACTTCTCAACAATTGCCTATCAACCAGCTGGAGGCTGTTCCCTGGCGGACACCCAGCAATGTGTGGAGGAATGTTCAACCATTGGGGGACTCAGGACGAGTGCAGCGGCCGGTCGGGAGAGGACGGTTTGCAGAGCTGCGGTTTACCGCCGGGGCAACACAGGAAGGTGTTTTTAGTTGTTCCTGCTGTAATTCAACTGCAGCCACTGGACGGTGGACGGTAGAATAACTGTACATTGCATGCTGGTCTTTATCTCCCCGTTTTTTTTATCGTTTTTTTTTGTTTTTTTTTGTTTTTTTTTTTTTTTTTTTTTTTTTTGTTTCTTTTTTTGTTTTTTGGTCTTCTCTTTTTGCTGTGTTTTTTTGTTTTGTTGTTTTTTTTTTTTTTTCTTCTTCGTTTACACAATACAACCTATGCTGATAGGTATGTTTTTACTAGAAGCGAGATGAAAACCTCTGTGGGATGCTAATGAAGCCAACAAGGAGTACAACACCTGCAGTTCCTCTAACGTCCACTAGGATTTGGCTGAGCTCCAGCAGTTGAGTTCTCCATAATAAGGCCCCATATTAAAATGTCTTGAAATAAACATGTTTACAAACTGTTTTACTATAACTAACTACCTAACCAGAGATACGAGCTTACGTTCAATATATTGCGATTTAATTTTAAGTTAAATAAAAGTTCATTTATTTTAATGCAACCAGGACACTGAAATCTGCATTTGTTTCACCTCAGTTCACTACAAAAATCCTAAATTATCACAAATTATTGATGTTTTTTCTAACCCCCCCTACTTACCATTGGCTTGCCATCGGTCCATCTGAAGTCTCTCTCAAACATCTTGTCGTTGAGGCCGAGCCACTGGTAGTCGCTGCCCAGACCTGCAGAGGCAAAAACACGTCAGAGTTCTGAGCTCGCAGCTCGTACAGAGCAAACACTCCACCTTCGGACGGAATAACCGTGTGATAGAGGAAGGAAAGAGAGAAGGAGGGCTGATGCACTGATTTACAAGTTTCTGGTTTGAACATGTGTGGGGCAGCAGGAGGAGGTTTGAACAATCAAAAGTGTGAAGAAACAAGAGCGGAGGGAGCGTTCAGGCTGAGCTGCTTCGGTGGCACAAGTCCATTTCATGTCAGTCAGCAGTTTGATGTATAAATTGAGAGTCTGCAGTCAGGTCTGATTGTCTGTGAAAACTCTCTGTTGAAACTTTTTTCTTTGTTTTACCGTAGTAACACTCATCATTGGATTAGATTAGAGACTTGCCTCCTTCCAAACACACTGATTCATTAAAGTGCAAAGGCCTATAAAGCAGCAACAAAACTTCTACAGGCAAAGTTACTTTAAAGATATTCTATATCAGTGGAAAGGTCTAGTGTGTAACACTGAGGAGGATCTATTGTTAGAAATATAATATAATATGCATCGGTATGTTTTCAGTGTTTAATCACCCAGGTTAGGAACTACTGCTCCAGTGGTTGAAACTTTATAGTGTAACAGTAATGTGTACTTTATATCTGGGGGTTTGTGATAGTATTTTGGAAATATTTTGAAGGTTTTATTACAGATTATGGTCATAATTTACTATTTTTTTATGTTTTTTAGTCTTCAGGATGCAATGTTGTTGGAGGCAGGGGTGACAGCCCTCTTGAGGAAACAGGAAGTGCATCACCGATTAGCGCCTGCAGCTCCTCACATATATATGATGGTGGAGTCAGTTTCTCTCTCTCTCTGGCCGTATGGTTTGTTGTTTGGTTTAGATCTTCACTTGTGTTCATGTCCACTCACTCAAACACACTCACCACTAATGATGTTACTGATTTACATATTTTATATCGTCATTGTTTTAGGTTACATTTTGATACATACATCTTTTTTTGACCTTCCCCTCGAGCTCGGGCTGTGACAAAATGGGGGCTCGTCCAGTATCTGAACCAATCTCTTGCACTCACAGTGAGAATCATACCTCTTGACTGAATGGAGGAGACAAGTGAATGAAGTAAAGATNNCAAAATGGGGGCTCGTCCGGGATTAAATGAAGCAGTGAAACCGGGCGGTTGGTTGGGGTTCGTTGGGGCACGCAGAAAAGGATCGTCTCATTTTTCAAGTATTTCTCAATTTAACGCAGTCGTACGAAACCTACATTCATTTATAACCTACAGGTCTTACGAATGCAGACTACCGCCACCTGCTGGACTTATCTTACCTCCTGCGCAGGTGCAGAACGAACGTGTTAGTTGGCCGTTCACAGGCGACACAACAGGCATGTCAAGGCCTCAACACTTCAGCTTCAGCTACAGGAAGAAATGGGCTCAAATGCCACCACGTTGACTTACGATTGACAAACAGTTGTTCCTCCTGTGACAGGATGCTGGCCAGATGGGCACCGCTGCAGCCGACACTCCCTCTCAGCAGCGTCCCAGGTTCGACGGTGTGTGAAGTACTTGTAGCAGTGAGACTGAAACTTTTGCCAGCCAAAGCCACAAACCTCAGTGTCTGCAGAGAGGGAAAGATAAAGTGTTAAAGAACTGCAACCCATCCAGAAAGAAGACATTTTCAACTCGAGGAGTGGATAGTTTGTAGTTAAAACTGCAGTTAGTAACTTTTATAATAATGTACTGCTGATTAAATCACTGCTTCTCCCACGCTG